CAGTAACCCGAATAAACAGTGAACTTATATTAGCGACAGTTCTCAACGTTCATCGTGAGTGGTGCAACCGACTTTATGGCGGACCACCGTTCGTTGCAGTTAACTGACAGCCGCCTCTTGCAGTCCGCTCAACTACGACTTCATTTAGATGTAAACTTGGATTGGGTTAGTGAAAGTTGGCTTTTTGGCCGATTTATCCCATAGTCTGTAAAAACACAGGACAGGTGTACTTGAAAAATGGAAAAAAATCGCTGGAACAAGCGATTTCTAAGCCTGACGTTTCGGATTTTCACTGGAATCCATCATCAGCAAACCTTTACCTGACTTGGTCTCTGGTGCTAGATTCGAGTGAGAGACTGAAACGCCAAGCTAAAAAAGCTCTTGTTCGCGCAAACATATCTAATTTTTCCCGACTTCTTATTGGAATTCTCCTGTTTGCTAGTATTAGTAAATCGACATGAGTAGAAGAGTTTGAAAAGCATATCTTAGAGGTAGGTGTTTCATTTACAGTGTGGTCAAACGCCAGAGATGCCACCGAATGGGGCAAGCACCCCAGAAATGTTAAGTGATGGATAGTTTCTGAGCCTAGAACTCATATCTCTCATTCTTATGGGCAAACTATCTTCACAAAGCCTTCCTTACGCTCAGTATCATGCTTTGACTGATTTCACACCACGCAAATAGGCTTTGACGAATCCAAAGATTATTTGTGCTCTTGTGGGGGCATCGGTGCTCTAATTAATCATTAAGCACTCTGTGCAACACAAAAACCTGACCTTAGATGGCAGAAGCTGTTCATGCTTTCAGGAGTCTTGCAATATGTTTCCAGCGGGACCGCTATTTTTGATCAGGGGTGGTAAACAGGACGTTGGTAAATTTGCTTAAAAGACTGTATACTGAGGAAATTAAACCAGCACTTAATTGAGCGATCTTCGTGAACGACCACAAATATTATGAACACCAAGGCAGATAACATAAAATCCTTTCCTCGCCACCCATGTGCGCTCTGATTACTATGTGTCTTAACGGTAGGCTGGACCGAGTGCTGAATATTTGGTCGTACTTTTTCAGCTCGTCCAAATGTTTTGTTCTGAAAAACTGGCTCCATGAACATCTGAAAAGAATCATTCTGATATTAACATTTGCAACTATTACACAAGCCTAATCAAGAATTTTCGAATTAGGCGTATTTGGTTAGAGCAGGTGTGCTTTTCGACAATGTGAATTTTGTATGGTTTAAAAATTTACATAAATGCTGGAGTAACAGTAGAAAGTGAAAAGAAAATGCATTCTTCCCAGTTTATTTCAAAATGTGGTCTTCAAACCATTCTTGGTAATAATTTTCACAATGTGACGTTGTCTACTGCGAAATTCTTTTACAGATTTGTGATTTCCACGACCTCTAGCTCACAATATTTTACTCGCAGCCTGTCTAGATTTTTTCCGTTTTCATGGACCCGGCTTGCTCATCTCGAATGAGCTTATCAATGATAACAGGGGTTTATTTTAGGCTCCTTTGGCAAATTAGTCTGATACAGCCAGCCCTCTCAGTCTAAGTAAGGTAGGACCATCTGAACTCGTAAATGCTGGATGCAAATGCTGTCTACAAGGAGGAGGAAAATGTGAAAATATCTAGAAAATGATTTCTGTAATTGCAGTGACTCAGGGACTTTTAAAAAATCGTAATACTTAAATATGGAAACATGCTTATCTTCGGGGAGGAACCGGAATAGATTAAAATAACCATGGCGACTGTTAGTTTGATAAGAACAAGGAGAAAGGAAGGTCAATATAAAACACCCGTTTCAAAAAAAATATTTTCACCTTAGTTTGGTCAACAAAAGTAGTTTAAGAAAGAAAAACCAGGATCACAACGTAAGACATTTCGCACAGTTAACCGCTCCTGTCACGAGCATGTATTTCACGAAAACGATTTCATTTTTTTTGCCAGTGCATGATTTTGCTTTCTAAATATCGGTTCATGAGTAAGTGTTAACTGTAGCCTAAACGTCGTGCGCACCAAAGTCCAGGACTTAGTGGTCCAGCCTTTTCAAACAAACTGCTAAACGGAGGATACTCCTTGAATGCTTATGCTAGGGTGATTGCCCCTTATATTTTTGCATTTCAGTTTTTAATGAAAATTTTTTTCAGTCACGGACGTATAGTATATCTCTAAAAAGGTTACTGGATATTT